CTACTCATCCTCCATCTTATGGATGTTGCAGTTTTTGTTTATTCATCAGTGACAGACACATAGGTCCCCCACATTCTGGCTTCTGTAAACGATGCTGCCATGAACATCCCTGTGGAGGGTTCTTGTGTGTATGCACTTTCTGATTCTCTCAGATAAATACCTGGGAGGGGAATGGCTGGGCCACATGGTAGCTGTGGTTGACATTTTGAGGAAATACTGAACTATACTCCACAGCAGCTGCACTATTTTATAACCTTACCAGCAGTCTATGAGATTTGTGTGCGTGTGGCTTTCTTTTTTTGTACATGTCCTTAGCTTGCAAAATTTTAAATTGGTAACCTTACGTTAGTCTATTTAAATTTTTAAAAAAATTAAAAACCCATCCATGAAGTCCGGAAGTTGGGAAACCACTACATAAACCAGTCTGTATTTAAAAGCAAAACAAACAAAAAAACCTATCCAAAAGTTTGTCAATGAATAAAAGAGAATTTCTTTATTTTCTGTTGGTTCATTGGCAATCCAGAATGTCTGGTTCTCCTGTTTCACCCCTGTTGTGCATGAGAAGAGGCAGCATGGGGGGAGTTGTTTTCCAAGGAGAAAACTCAAGAAGTGGAATAAAGTGCTCTGATTGGAACAGAGAGAAATTACAGGCTTATGTATATCTGTTCTGTCCCATTGTCTGGAAAATAGCGCAAATGGTTTCTCCTTTTCCTTATTTGTCGGAGGGAAGGATTTCGTGGAGGTAAGTGTAGTGAGACCCCATTCTCTTCTCTGTGCATCAAGATTAACCTTTGATACTCACAGAAATACAAGAGTTTGGACTGTTTCAAAGCTCATTTACTGTGCCAGATAAAAAACCCAAAGACAAAAGGCTAGGGAAGGAGACCAAGAGAAGAGACAGGGTGTACGCGTCCCTGCCCTCAGCCCATCTGCCGCCATCATTCCTGAAGGAGAGGTTTGGGCTAGGGAAGCAGGTGGGTGGGAAAGCAACCCTCCCAGGTACAGCAGGGCTACCTTTGCTGTTTTTATTGAAAACTACAAAAGAATAAAAACAATGAATACCTTTATTTTTAAGTACAAGATGTACCTTTACTGTTACTTTTGAGATCCTTCATCTGCTTCAGATCATGTTTTTATTAGTTGTTACTGTGAACGTTCTATTTTATGTGCCCTTTTTAAATAAGGCTTTTGAATTTTAATTTGCATGGTTTCTGTATGGTACAGTGTGTATTAATATTCCAGTTTTCCTGGCTGTTCTCCAGGCTTGGGATACCTGGGTTGTCTCCAGGCTGTGCCCTTGAGCATCACTCGTCATGCAAGTCTCATTGGGATGCTTGGTCTCCCTGAGTCTCTGTGTCTTCATCTGCAGAATGGAGATGATGGTACCTATCGTTTGGGACTCTTCTGAAGCTCAAAGTGTAATAATGTTGTGAAAGCATTTTACAGAGTGTACTAGGAAGTGGGTTATTTTTGTACAAATGATTTCCTTTCTTTTTTGAGTTAATTTCTTGGGTTATATTCCCTGGAATGGGCTCACTGGTTCAAAGGCTATGACCCAGGTTAATCGATTGATTCAAAATCAATTTGTTCAGTAAATATGTATTACATGCTTTCTATAGGCCAAGTTCTATTCTGGGCATTGAGAAATGCATCAATAAATAAAATGAAGCCTTGATCTCACGGAGCCTTCCTTTTGTTGGGCTGGTTTATAACTTTTATTATATAAATAGTACATAAATATATAAATCAATGATTCCTGAGTGTCAGTCAGAGGAATGATACTCATCTCTAACACATTTCTACCAGTATGAAGTGAAATGAGAAAAATAGGGCAATGTTGGGAGTTTTTCATAAAGGACATGGCTGAGATATATAGACTTTTTTTTGGTGTTAAAACTGTTTCTTTATGAAACAATGGTGCTAATAGATGTTAGTGGGTTTTTTTTTTAAGTGTTTGTTTTTATTTTTAGTATCCTAACAAGTCAAGAAAAGATTCCCCAGTTTGGAGGAATATATACTAGTACATAAAATCATAAAGCATGGGAACCACTGAATTTTGACTTAACTCTGTATTATCTATCACAGTTTATGGTACGCTTTTATGTAACTTAATTGGGGTCTCACTATACACTAACCATATATGGGAGATAGAGTAGGTATCTGTCAGCTCAGGTCCTCCAGGGAGCACTTATGTGGGTGTACTGCTCCAGTGATAGATGAAGTCAGTAGCTAGATTGGGAGCAGGACAACCACAAGCAGAGCTGACAGTCACAGCCAATCCACCGGGAAGCTCTGAAGCCAAGATTGTCTGGTGGAGGAGTCCTCATTGGACAGAAATGGTTGGGCCCTGGGACCCCTACACTTGTCGTTAGCTGGGGGCTGCCCAGGAAGAGTGCGGCAGAGGTGGGTCCTGGAGGTGCTGTCATCCTTTGCAGCTGGATAGCAACTTTTTCCTGAGGAGAAATCAGAGCAGGTGCTCCTGTGCCCACCACAGTATCCTTTCCCTTATTTTGTAGATGAGGAAACCAAGACTGAGACTTGGTGAAGAACAGACAGGGAGGCCAGGAAGCCAGGACTCTGCCCCTGCTTTCAAGCCATTACACTGTTCTTTCTGTACATGACGTTGCAGTTAACAGTTTTTACTGAATGTCTCCCATATGAAAGACATTCACTGCATTCAGAAATGCCTAAGACAACACTTAGTAGAGAAGAAAATGTAATTATCTGGGCGAGTGTAGACAACGTCAGTCTACCAGACAATATGTGGGTAATTATAACGTAAACAAGTAGATCCGTGCTGGAGGAGGAAGTTCGCACAGAGTGGTATGTGCCATCAGAGTCTGCCCTGCTGTAAGGCTCCCCAGCAAAGCTTCGTGGAGGGGTGGCGCTGGGGCTGGATTCTGAAGGTCAGATGGGCTTAGAAGTGAGGGGTTAGGGAGTTAAGTTCTAGAAGCTGGGAATAAACTGAGCAAAAGTTTGGAGTGTGATTGTCTTGTAACATGTTTGTTTTCCTGCTGGGGTTGGGGGACTGGCTGCTGGAGGAGGCAACCATGCCATGGATGTAAGAAGTGGTTAGTTGGATGGGTATGTGATGTAGAGTTAAGACAAATAATCAGATTATAAGAAGTCTAGGAGAGAATGATGAAGCCACACAGACTAGGTGAGTAGCTTTTAGTTAACTGAATGAACAGACAGTGAACCATCCCTGGCTGATTCTTTAATGGGTGTGTTTCCACAGGGGCCTGCTAAATTGCTGGGAGCTTTTGTATTCTAGACCTAATGAATAGGCCCAAGATTGCCAGCCTGCCTCCTGATCCCTGGCCTGGGACCTTTACAATAAGTCATCTGACCCGTTTCTTCCTCTGTTTTGCCTGTTGTTCTGTTTTGTCAAAGCTGCAGGGGATGACAACCTGAAGTCCCTTCCTTGCTAGCTCCTTTCCGCTCCCCCTCTTACTCTGGTGGCCAGGTAACAACAGGCTACTACTTTTGTTATTGTTGCCTTTCAGGTAAAGTGATGTGTTGAAAGCAGAAGTTTGAGTGGCCTGCTGGGACCAGTTTTACAAATACTGCATCTTTACTTAGAGGTCCACTATGGAAGAAGCAAGATCCAGGGCAAGGGGAGCAGGGACAACTGTACCGAGTGGTCTGAGGGCCTTCCAAACATGACTTTGTCTCTCTTAGACTTGTTTCACAGCTTTTAGTGCCAGAGTGCAATGCTGTGTCTTGTGTTGAGGAGGATGTCTAAGCTCTGCTGTCTGTTTTTGTCAGCTTTCTAGGCTGTGTCTTGTAGAGGGCAGATGGGGAAGCTCTTCAGTGCATGCATGTGTGTGCACGTGCACATATGTACACGCGCACATATGTACACGTACCAGGGCCTGTCTGAAAGAGCTGCTGTATCGCTGAGGGGAGTTTGAGATCTCACACACTGCCTCCCTCACTGCTGCCCAGGTGTCAGGGTCAGCCGGTCCCATAAGAAGTCTCCCTTCCAGCTCCTTGGTCACTCAGTGAGCATTTTACTGTCTAACTCTTGCTGGGCTGAGTGGTCAGAAAGTAGATTAGCAATTAGTAGGGCAGGGAGATAGCAGGGCACCCGGAGAAGTGGACCAGTTACATAAATGCAGGGAGATACCACTGGGCATCAAACTGTAGCTCTTTGGAAATTTGGACATGACGCATTTCCTGTAGGGGATCAGTGTGGAGTCAGGGCTAATGACAGGTATGGAGCAGTGGAGGGTCTCTTGAGAGGAAGCTGCCAGAGCTGAGAGAAGTGCAGCTGAATGTGCCAAGGGACACAACCAGATTTTCCCCAGGAGCAGGGTAGTGATGTAATGTGTTTGTGTTTCTTAGTGTCCGGTGCTGAAACATCCAGGATTCAGGACTGTGTCCACTTGATTATCAGTTGAGGGTTTAGGGGTCTTAATAAAAAGGAAGCTAATTTTTCTGGGGAGAGTGGTAAGAGTTTAACCAGTCCCTGTTCACCTCTTTTCCTCACCCGTTTGGTTAGATGCTGGCTTCTACTGTTACCCAAATTTAAGAGTCACTTTGGGGAGGAGAGGAAACGAACGTTCTCTGTGCATCCCTCATGGCCCCTCAGATGCACCAGAGCCATGGCACTGTGTGGGACGGCTGGATGTTCCAATGTAAACTTGTCCCCTCCCCACCTTCTCCAAGAGTCTGCAGAGCCAGCGCTGTGTGTCCCCAAATCTGTGCTGCTCTGACCAGCCTTTATTTCTACAAGAGGTTGCTTTACCGGCTGTTCCTAGTTTCAGACCCAAGTCAGTGTGGGGCAGGTGCTTAATCTACAGGCTGGGAGCCTCTTTGGTTTGAGGTAGGTGGAAACGTAAAGCTTTCCCTGTAACTGGGAACAGCACTTTTAGTTCTGACAGAAGTGAAGCATTTGGAAATCTTGTTCAGAGTACTTTGAGCATGGGGGCCCTGTCCTGTTCCCTGTCCCTTCATGGGGAGAACCCCATGCTGGTGACCTTTCCCTGTCTCCGCAGACATCATCTCTGCCTCCTGTCTCCGCCTACTTTCCCATTCTGTTGGCTGGTCTGCCAGTGTGTGGACTTGTACATCATGAATTGTGAACTTCTGGCCACATGTAGTGCCCTTGGGTACTTGGAAGGAGACACATATCACAAGGACCCAGATTGCTTAGGTGAGTACCTTTTTGAGGAAACAGGTAAAACTCGTTGAGTCAAGGAGGTCTGTTGAATTTCTCGAGCCATGGGTATGAAAACACCTAGGCTCCGGTGGAGTTTCTTCCAGGGTCCCTCTAAGTGTTTACTCTGCCCTTGAAGAGAGTGTGAAAGATTTGATCCGCTACTTGAGGCACGAGGATGAGACACGGGGTGTGCGGCAGCAGCTGGGGGCAGCCCAGATCCTGCAGACTGACCTTCTTCCCATCCTCACCCAGCACCACCAGGACAGGCCTCTCTTTGATGCTGTTATCAGGTGGATGCCCCAACCTTTGCTGTCTGAGCTGATGGATTCAGTGTTTGTGCCTGGTGAGGAAACAGCCTGTCCCGCCTTCTCTGTCTTCCAGGCTGATGGTGAACTTGACACAGCCAGCCTTGCTGTGCTTTGGCAGTGTGCCCAAGGACCCCTGCCCCCGGCGCCATTTCCTGCAGGCACTGGACTACTTGCAGGCTTACAAAGAGGTGAGGTTGCCTGCAGAGTCACTGGGGCAGAACGGGGGCAGCGGGGAAGGGAAGGGCAAGATGCCACTTACCATCCTTTCCCCATCTCCCAGGCCTTTGCCAGCGAAAAACCTTTTGGAGTCCTCAGTGAAACCTTGTACGAGCTGCTGCAGCTGGTGAGTGAGTCTCTGCCTCATAGGACCCCATGGGACATGAGCGCCTTGGCCTCCTCTGGCAGAGCTCTGGGCTGGGCAGCGCTGGGGCCCACTGCATGTGGGGGTGTGGCCCAGGCCTTGCACATACACAGCCTGTCTGTTGAGTCCTAGGTTGCCATAGGACCGCTTGAACTCCTGCTTTTCTTTCTTGGTGATCCTGACCTGCTTCTCAGTCTGTCCTCCAGCCAGGGTGGACACTGCCAGCCCTCCTCGGAGTCTCCTAACCCCCTCCTTCTGACCAGGGCTGGGAGGAAAGGCAGGAGGAAGACAACCTGCTGATCGAGCGGATCCTGCTGCTGGTCAGAAATATTCTCCACATCCCAGCCAACCTTGATAGGGAAAAGGTGAGGGTCTTGGCCTGTCTGAGCTTAGTGCTTGGTTAGGTCTCACTGCCCCTTTCTGCTCTCCTGGCCTCTGACAACCCTCAGGGGAAGCTGGGCCAGGGAATGAGTGGGAGAACCTCAAGGCAGGGTAGTGAAACTGAATGACCTCCCTTTCTGCTCTCCACTCACTGCTCAGAGCATCGATGATGGTGCCAGTGTTCATGACCAGCTTCTCTGGGCGATTCACCTCAGTGGCCTGGATGACCTGCTCCTCTTCCTGGCCAGCTCATCTGCTGAGCAGCAGTGGAGCCTACATGTGCTAGAGATTATCTCTCTCATGTTTCGTGACCAGGTGAGACCCCCACCTATTGCCCCAACCCTTTGCCCATGTATGTTCTTGCTGTGTGGCAAGAATCGCTCTTATAATATTGTGGCCATATTATCTGGGGGAGGTGGATGACAGACAGAGTAGCCACGTTGTGAGCAGGGTTTCCTATCAGCAGGAGTAGCCACGTTGTGAGCAGGGTTTCCTATCAGCAGCCCTATTTCATTTACCCTGTCTGTCCCTGCAAGGAGTGAGCTCAGAATAAGGAATGCCTTTCCTTCTGACTCTTTCCTCCTTGTTCCAAACCCAGAACCCCAAGCTGCTAGCAGGAGTAGGACAGGGCCACTTAGCTCAGGAGCGGAGCACAGATGTGGCAGAACTGGAGGTGCTGCGCCAGCGCGAGGCAGCAGAGAGGAAAACCCGAGCCCTTCAGCGAGGCCACAGGTGCGAGGTGGAGAGTTCTCATGCCTGGGTTTCCATCCTGGCCCTGTGAAATGTCGAGGGCTTGGGCCAGACACTGAGGGCTGAGGCGGGTGAGCAGACAGCGTTTTGCAGTTGTGACAAGCACATCTTTGCTGGTGAAAGCACATGGGGATAAAGCTCTGAGGTCTCGGACTCACAGGGACTTTAGTTTTGTTGCAGGCATTCACGATTTGGGGGCTCCTACATCATCCAGGGGTTGAAATCCATTGGTGACAGGGACCTCATCTTTCACAAAGGTCTTCACAATGTGAGTATGCCCCCATCTGGGCAGGAACATTGTGGAGCTGGGGGCACCTAAGAAGAAAAGCTGCTCTGTTCTTGAGCTTAGAAAGCTGGAGATGGTATGAGACATAGAGCCTCTGGCAGTATTGTCTTTACCTATGTCTTCACTTTGCACCAGAGGGAGAGAACCTTCTAGGAGTTTCTTCTGAGAAAATTGTAACACCAGGAATGTGGAAAGAGGTGCAAGGGGAGGGTGGCTAGGAGTAATTAATGCTCCCCCGACCCACACCCCCAGCTCCAAAACTACAGCTCAGATTTGGGAAAGCAGCCCCAAAGAGTGCCGAAGCATCGCCAGGCCGCCCAGGAGCTGTCTGCTCAGCGCCGCTCTGCCCTCAGTGTGAGACTCTTCCTCAGAGACTTCTGCTCTGAGTTCCTGGAGAACTGTTACAACCGGCTCATGGGCTACGTGAAGGTGGGAGCCCAGGAGGGAGGGCACCCTTGAGCAATGGTGAAGATGCCAGGAGTGGGTTACTGGCACCACAGAAAAAGGATGTAGAGAAATTGCCCCAGAGGCAGGGGAAAGGAATGTGGAGAGACCTGAGAACAAGAGAGGGTTGGAAATGGTGGGTCTTTGAGTGATGTCCCAGTGGTGTCCACAGTCTACCTCTGTAGGATAGGAGGAAGTTGGAAGCTCTGGGGCCATGGTGGTCTTTCTTCCTGGACTCAGGGTCTCCTGCTTCGGGAGAGGGCTCAGCAGCATGATGAGGTCTACTACATGTGGGCCCTGGCCTTCTTCATGGCCTTCAACCGAGCTGCCTCCTTCCAGCCGGGCTTGGTCTCTGAGACCCTCAGTGTCCACACCTTTCACTTCATCGAGCAGAACCTCACCACCTACTATGAGATGATGCTGACTGACCGCAAGGAGGCCACCTCCTGGGCACACCGGTGCGTGCAGTGGGAATGGGGGCAGAGTGGGCATCTTGGCCAGGCTGAGAACAAGGATGAGGTGGCCTGTGCTGGTCTCTGGGCACTTACTCTGGGTGGGGAAGTTTCCGTGGACTCATGGCCCAGGCTGTCCTCCAGCTCACTGGCTTCCCTCGTGGCCCAGGACGCACCTGGCTCTGAAGGCCTACCAGGAGCTGCTGGCCATGGTGAACGAGATGGACGCAGCCCCAGATGTGGCTATGAGGGAGAGCAGTCACGTCATCAAGAGTGAGGCACCCGCTTTCCCCCCTCATGACCAGACTCTCACTCTTCCCAGTCCCGCTCCATCCATCTCCCTTCCCAGTTCCACTCCATCCATCTCCCTTCCCAGACCTCCTGACCAGTCCTGTTCCTTTCTCTTCCCTTTTCCTAGACAACATTTTCTATGTGATGGAATACCGAGAGCTATTCCTGACACTCTTTCGAAAGTTCAATGAGAGACACCAGCCCCGCTCTTTCCTTCGTGACCTGGTGGAAACCACTCATCTCTTCCTCAAGATGTTGGAGCGGTTCTGTCAGAGCCGTGGGAACCTGCTGGTTACAGTGAACCATCCCTGGCTGATTCTTTAATGGGTGTGTTTCCACAGGGGCCTGCTAAATTGCTGGGAGCTTTTGTATTCTAGACCTAATGAATAGGCCCAAGATTGCCAGCCTGCCTCCTGATCCCTGGCCTGGGACCTTTACAATAAGTCATCTGACCCGTTTCTTCCTCTGTTTTGCCTGTTGTTCTGTTTTGTCAAAGCTGCAGGGGATGACAACCTGAAGTCCCTTCCTTGCTAGCTCCTTTCCGCTCCCCCTCTTACTCTGGTGGCCAGGTAACAACAGGCTACTACTTTTGTTATTGTTGCCTTTCAGGTAAAGTGATGTGTTGAAAGCAGAAGTTTGAGTGGCCTGCTGGGACCAGTTTTACAAATACTGCATCTTTACTTAGAGGTCCACTATGGAAGAAGCAAGATCCAGGGCAAGGGGAGCAGGGACAACTGTACCGAGTGGTCTGAGGGCCTTCCAAACATGACTTTGTCTCTCTTAGACTTGTTTCACAGCTTTTAGTGCCAGAGTGCAATGCTGTGTCTTGTGTTGAGGAGGATGTCTAAGCTCTGCTGTCTGTTTTTGTCAGCTTTCTAGGCTGTGTCTTGTAGAGGGCAGATGGGGAAGCTCTTCAGTGCATGCATGTGTGTGCACGTGCACATATGTACACGCGCACATATGTACACGTACCAGGGCCTGTCTGAAAGAGCTGCTGTATCGCTGAGGGGAGTTTGAGATCTCACACACTGCCTCCCTCACTGCTGCCCAGGTGTCAGGGTCAGCCGGTCCCATAAGAAGTCTCCCTTCCAGCTCCTTGGTCACTCAGTGAGCATTTTACTGTCTAACTCTTGCTGGGCTGAGTGGTCAGAAAGTAGATTAGCAATTAGTAGGGCAGGGAGATAGCAGGGCACCCGGAGAAGTGGACCAGTTACATAAATGCAGGGAGATACCACTGGGCATCAAACTGTAGCTCTTTGGAAATTTGGACATGACGCATTTCCTGTAGGGGATCAGTGTGGAGTCAGGGCTAATGACAGGTATGGAGCAGTGGAGGGTCTCTTGAGAGGAAGCTGCCAGAGCTGAGAGAAGTGCAGCTGAATGTGCCAAGGGACACAACCAGATTTTCCCCAGGAGCAGGGTAGTGATGTAATGTGTTTGTGTTTCTTAGTGTCCGGTGCTGAAACATCCAGGATTCAGGACTGTGTCCACTTGATTATCAGTTGAGGGTTTAGGGGTCTTAATAAAAAGGAAGCTAATTTTTCTGGGGAGAGTGGTAAGAGTTTAACCAGTCCCTGTTCACCTCTTTTCCTCACCCGTTTGGTTAGATGCTGGCTTCTACTGTTACCCAAATTTAAGAGTCACTTTGGGGAGGAGAGGAAACGAACGTTCTCTGTGCATCCCTCATGGCCCCTCAGATGCACCAGAGCCATGGCACTGTGTGGGACGGCTGGATGTTCCAATGTAAACTTGTCCCCTCCCCACCTTCTCCAAGAGTCTGCAGAGCCAGCGCTGTGTGTCCCCAAATCTGTGCTGCTCTGACCAGCCTTTATTTCTACAAGAGGTTGCTTTACCGGCTGTTCCTAGTTTCAGACCCAAGTCAGTGTGGGGCAGGTGCTTAATCTACAGGCTGGGAGCCTCTTTGGTTTGAGGTAGGTGGAAACGTAAAGCTTTCCCTGTAACTGGGAACAGCACTTTTAGTTCTGACAGAAGTGAAGCATTTGGAAATCTTGTTCAGAGTACTTTGAGCATGGGGGCCCTGTCCTGTTCCCTGTCCCTTCATGGGGAGAACCCCATGCTGGTGACCTTTCCCTGTCTCCGCAGACATCATCTCTGCCTCCTGTCTCCGCCTACTTTCCCATTCTGTTGGCTGGTCTGCCAGTGTGTGGACTTGTACATCATGAATTGTGAACTTCTGGCCACATGTAGTGCCCTTGGGTACTTGGAAGGAGACACATATCACAAGGACCCAGATTGCTTAGGTGAGTACCTTTTTGAGGAAACAGGTAAAACTCGTTGAGTCAAGGAGGTCTGTTGAATTTCTCGAGCCATGGGTATGAAAACACCTAGGCTCCGGTGGAGTTTCTTCCAGGGTCCCTCTAAGTGTTTACTCTGCCCTTGAAGAGAGTGTGAAAGATTTGATCCGCTACTTGAGGCACGAGGATGAGACACGGGGTGTGCGGCAGCAGCTGGGGGCAGCCCAGATCCTGCAGACTGACCTTCTTCCCATCCTCACCCAGCACCACCAGGACAGGCCTCTCTTTGATGCTGTTATCAGGTGGATGCCCCAACCTTTGCTGTCTGAGCTGATGGATTCAGTGTTTGTGCCTGGTGAGGAAACAGCCTGTCCCGCCTTCTCTGTCTTCCAGGCTGATGGTGAACTTGACACAGCCAGCCTTGCTGTGCTTTGGCAGTGTGCCCAAGGACCCCTGCCCCCGGCGCCATTTCCTGCAGGCACTGGACTACTTGCAGGCTTACAAAGAGGTGAGGTTGCCTGCAGAGTCACTGGGGCAGAACGGGGGCAGCGGGGAAGGGAAGGGCAAGATGCCACTTACCATCCTTTCCCCATCTCCCAGGCCTTTGCCAGCGAAAAACCTTTTGGAGTCCTCAGTGAAACCTTGTACGAGCTGCTGCAGCTGGTGAGTGAGTCTCTGCCTCATAGGACCCCATGGGACATGAGCGCCTTGGCCTCCTCTGGCAGAGCTCTGGGCTGGGCAGCGCTGGGGCCCACTGCATGTGGGGGTGTGGCCCAGGCCTTGCACATACACAGCCTGTCTGTTGAGTCCTAGGTTGCCATAGGACCGCTTGAACTCCTGCTTTTCTTTCTTGGTGATCCTGACCTGCTTCTCAGTCTGTCCTCCAGCCAGGGTGGACACTGCCAGCCCTCCTCGGAGTCTCCTAACCCCCTCCTTCTGACCAGGGCTGGGAGGAAAGGCAGGAGGAAGACAACCTGCTGATCGAGCGGATCCTGCTGCTGGTCAGAAATATTCTCCACATCCCAGCCAACCTTGATAGGGAAAAGGTGAGGGTCTTGGCCTGTCTGAGCTTAGTGCTTGGTTAGGTCTCACTGCCCCTTTCTGCTCTCCTGGCCTCTGACAACCCTCAGGGGAAGCTGGGCCAGGGAATGAGTGGGAGAACCTCAAGGCAGGGTAGTGAAACTGAATGACCTCCCTTTCTGCTCTCCACTCACTGCTCAGAGCATCGATGATGGTGCCAGTGTTCATGACCAGCTTCTCTGGGCGATTCACCTCAGTGGCCTGGATGACCTGCTCCTCTTCCTGGCCAGCTCATCTGCTGAGCAGCAGTGGAGCCTACATGTGCTAGAGATTATCTCTCTCATGTTTCGTGACCAGGTGAGACCCCCACCTATTGCCCCAACCCTTTGCCCATGTATGTTCTTGCTGTGTGGCAAGAATCGCTCTTATAATATTGTGGCCATATTATCTGGGGGAGGTGGATGACAGACAGAGTAGCCACGTTGTGAGCAGGGTTTCCTATCAGCAGGAGTAGCCACGTTGTGAGCAGGGTTTCCTATCAGCAGCCCTATTTCATTTACCCTGTCTGTCCCTGCAAGGAGTGAGCTCAGAATAAGGAATGCCTTTCCTTCTGACTCTTTCCTCCTTGTTCCAAACCCAGAACCCCAAGCTGCTAGCAGGAGTAGGACAGGGCCACTTAGCTCAGGAGCGGAGCACAGATGTGGCAGAACTGGAGGTGCTGCGCCAGCGCGAGGCAGCAGAGAGGAAAACCCGAGCCCTTCAGCGAGGCCACAGGTGCGAGGTGGAGAGTTCTCATGCCTGGGTTTCCATCCTGGCCCTGTGAAATGTCGAGGGCTTGGGCCAGACACTGAGGGCTGAGGCGGGTGAGCAGACAGCGTTTTGCAGTTGTGACAAGCACATCTTTGCTGGTGAAAGCACATGGGGATAAAGCTCTGAGGTCTCGGACTCACAGGGACTTTAGTTTTGTTGCAGGCATTCACGATTTGGGGGCTCCTACATCATCCAGGGGTTGAAATCCATTGGTGACAGGGACCTCATCTTTCACAAAGGTCTTCACAATGTGAGTATGCCCCCATCTGGGCAGGAACATTGTGGAGCTGGGGGCACCTAAGAAGAAAAGCTGCTCTGTTCTTGAGCTTAGAAAGCTGGAGATGGTATGAGACATAGAGCCTCTGGCAGTATTGTCTTTACCTATGTCTTCACTTTGCACCAGAGGGAGAGAACCTTCTAGGAGTTTCTTCTGAGAAAATTGTAACACCAGGAATGTGGAAAGAGGTGCAAGGGGAGGGTGGCTAGGAGTAATTAATGCTCCCCCGACCCACACCCCCAGCTCCAAAACTACAGCTCAGATTTGGGAAAGCAGCCCCAAAGAGTGCCGAAGCATCGCCAGGCCGCCCAGGAGCTGTCTGCTCAGCGCCGCTCTGCCCTCAGTGTGAGACTCTTCCTCAGAGACTTCTGCTCTGAGTTCCTGGAGAACTGTTACAACCGGCTCATGGGCTACGTGAAGGTGGGAGCCCAGGAGGGAGGGCACCCTTGAGCAATGGTGAAGATGCCAGGAGTGGGTTACTGGCACCACAGAAAAAGGATGTAGAGAAATTGCCCCAGAGGCAGGGGAAAGGAATGTGGAGAGACCTGAGAACAAGAGAGGGTTGGAAATGGTGGGTCTTTGAGTGATGTCCCAGTGGTGTCCACAGTCTACCTCTGTAGGATAGGAGGAAGTTGGAAGCTCTGGGGCCATGGTGGTCTTTCTTCCTGGACTCAGGGTCTCCTGCTTCGGGAGAGGGCTCAGCAGCATGATGAGGTCTACTACATGTGGGCCCTGGCCTTCTTCATGGCCTTCAACCGAGCTGCCTCCTTCCAGCCGGGCTTGGTCTCTGAGACCCTCAGTGTCCACACCTTTCACTTCATCGAGCAGAACCTCACCACCTACTATGAGATGATGCTGACTGACCGCAAGGAGGCCACCTCCTGGGCACACCGGTGCGTGCAGTGGGAATGGGGGCAGAGTGGGCATCTTGGCCAGGCTGAGAACAAGGATGAGGTGGCCTGTGCTGGTCTCTGGGCACTTACTCTGGGTGGGGAAGTTTCCGTGGACTCATGGCCCAGGCTGTCCTCCAGCTCACTGGCTTCCCTCGTGGCCCAGGACGCACCTGGCTCTGAAGGCCTACCAGGAGCTGCTGGCCATGGTGAACGAGATGGACGCAGCCCCAGATGTGGCTATGAGGGAGAGCAGTCACGTCATCAAGAGTGAGGCACCCGCTTTCCCCCCTCATGACCAGACTCTCACTCTTCCCAGTCCCGCTCCATCCATCTCCCTTCCCAGTTCCACTCCATCCATCTCCCTTCCCAGACCTCCTGACCAGTCCTGTTCCTTTCTCTTCCCTTTTCCTAGACAACATTTTCTATGTGATGGAATACCGAGAGCTATTCCTGACACTCTTTCGAAAGTTCAATGAGAGACACCAGCCCCGCTCTTTCCTTCGTGACCTGGTGGAAACCACTCATCTCTTCCTCAAGATGTTGGAGCGGTTCTGTCAGAGCCGTGGGAACCTGCTGGTGCAGGTGTGGAAAGAGCTGTGCAGGAAGGGGAGGACAGCAGACTCTCCCACATGGTCTGTAGCGTGAGCTGACCTGACTGACTGCACTAAGAGGCCAGGAAGTTTTCTGGTATCACTGGTGTGAATCTACTGCAGTTGCTCTCTCCAGCTAGATGAATCCCTGATCTACCATAAATAGCTTCATTCGTTCAGGAAACATTCATCTAACAACTACTTGTGCTGAGCATGTAAACTCTGAGGATTCTTGATTTTAGAGTTCAGTAATTATGCTTTGGTATTTCCTGGCTATACTTCACAAGCATTGTAATGAGATGGAAATAGCCTTTAACTAAAAGTCAGAAAGTGTGGGATCTCACCCTGTATTAGTTACTGTCAGAATAACTCAAGCTGCTTGTGTTGGTCTCCAGATCCCTAAAGTTGGGATTGTAACATGTGCCTGAAATGAAATAAGTGACAAGTCAGGACAGAAAGAAAACTTCAAGGAATTTATATCCTAGAGACACAGGAACTGTGCTTTGTAAAAATCTTCCTATACTATTTGCTACAGATTGAAATCAGTTAGGTTTAGACTTGAAGGTGGTAGCAGTTCCAGTCAGACTCTGCTAAAAGGGGTTTTTGCACTTGGCTCTATTGTATTACTGGAAATAGTAAATGCTGTCATTTATCCAGTGTTTACTATGTGTCAGAAGTTGTGCTGATGTTTTCATGTAATCCTCACAACTAGGACATGCACCCAGATTGGCCAAGCAGCTTGTCCAAGTCTTGCTAGTAAGTGGCTAGTGTCAGTACTGAGACCCAGGTGTACTGGACTCAGGCTCCTAGCCGTTAGTGTATTTAATTTGAAGTTCCTTGAATAGGGCATAAACCTCAAGGGCTTCCCAGTCCATCCCTTTTGCCTATATCAGAGACTGGTTCATAGCTGTGACTTTCAGAAGCAAGATTGGGGTGTTAACTCTGACTCTCCTGCTTTCCAGGACAAAAAAAATTATAGGTTATATTTACATAGTGCTTTGCATTTTACAAAGCCTTTTCATGTAGAATTTCTTATCCTCATAGTATCTGTTCATTCCTTAGACTTCTGCTTCAGATAACACTGCCTTTGGGAAATCTCTGACTCCAAGAAATGAGTCAGTGTTTTGCCATGGCAATTTTTGCCCACCCATACTCCAGGTCTGACCCATGCTGTAATATAATTTACCTGTCTGTTCACCTATCTCCCCCACTAGACTACAAGTTCCTCAAAGGCAAGAAAAAAACCACTCACTGTTTCTTCCCCATTGCCTATGAGTAGCATAGTGGTCACTATGACTAATTAATTTACATAGCTAATTGATTAATTAAAGAAGACACATGGGAAAAAGCACCTTTAGCCCTCCTGCCTTCCTTATATAGTTCTTTCTCTGCAGAACAAACAAAAGAAGAGAAAGAAGAAAAAGAAGGTCCTAAACCAGCCTGTTGCTTCTGATAATGCTCCCTGTATCCCCGGGGGCCTAGAGGCTGTGTGGCCATCCCTGGTCGAGCAGCTACATTGCTGTATCCAGGTAGGTAGTGGCAGAAACCCCATCTTTTTCAAGGGTAGTTCTCTGGGTTTCCCTCCTGTCCGCTCCTGCAGCCTTAGTACCTCTCTAGGACCCTGAGCTCAGTCTGGACTCTATGGTTCCCTTCGATGCGGCCTCAGAGGTGCCTGTGGAAGAGCAGCAGGCAGCAGCCATGGTGCGAGTCCAAGACTGTCTTCTGGCTGGCCAGGCCTCACAGGCTCTGACCCTCCTTAGGTCTGCCCGGTAAGAGTCCGCCCACCTGTCCACCTGGTCCAGCTCCTGGGCTCTGGGCTAGCGCCTCTCCCTGGTGCAGGGCTCTCCATCTCACAGGAGAGAAGCCCGTCAGAAGCTGGGTCTCTGAGGGGTTCTGACTGGCTTATTGGGGGTGGTTGTTGGTTGCTTTTGTTCTATTTTTGAGACATATCAGAAAGCACAGTTAATTAGGGAAAAGAAAATAATTCTGTGAGCCAAAATAGTCATCACAAACATTTTGATGAATTATCTTCCGCCAGGTTTTTTCCTCTGTGTTATATGTAGACATACGAGATACACTTTTTACAAAAATGAAATTCTGCACATAACTGATTTATAGTACTTTTTCACTTGATATATTGTGAGCATTTCTCATCAGATATATTTCTATAATTGTTGATGACAATGGGAATATGTATATTTCTTCAACCAAATATCAAAACATCTAGATTGTTTCCAGTTTTGCTCTTCAATGATTTTCATTGCCATGCAGCTTATGAGGGAAAATGTCCCTAGAGTCTTTGTTTCATCTTTGAGGTAATAGTTTGGATTCTCTTTCCAGCTGACACTTGAAATAAGTCTGAATTAAATCTTACTCAAATAACTCAAAATTCCCTCTTGTTAAAGCCTTGTTTTTCTCTGTGCTCCAGGGAGGTATGGCCAGGAGATGTGTTTGGCTCTCAAGACATTCCCCGAGAGGAAGAGATCCAGCTGCTGAAACAAATCCTGTATACCCCACTTTCCCGTGAGTGCTGTCTCCTGCACCTAACTGCCAGGCTCTTCTCTAGGATCAGCATCACAGAGACCCAGTAATCTTCCCTCTTCCTATAGGGCAGCCCAGGGTAGAGGAGGAAGAGGAGGAGGAGCAGTTGCAAGTGGTCCAGGTGTCAGAAAAAGAATTTAATTTTCTGGACTACCTGAAACGGTGCGAGCTGAGCAGCCTCAGGATGGAGATCGTGGGGCTGGGAGGGTCAGCAGCATCCTATGCTGACATCTGCCTGCCTGTTCTGGCAGCTTTGCAAGCTCAACTGTGGTCCGAGCCTACGCCTTGCTGCTGCACACCTACCCACAGAACAGCCCCCACACCAACCACTGCGTGGCCAAGATGCTGCACCGGCTGGCCCACGACCTCAACATGGAAGCCCTTCTTTTCCAGCTCTCACTCTTCTGCCTCTTCAACCGTCTGCTTAGTGACCCCGCTGCCGGGGCCTACAAAGTGAGGGGTTATTGAGAAATAGAGATGTGGAGGCGTAGTGGAGTCCTGGGGTAGAAGGATAGCCTTTGGGAGAAACAGGCTGCTCAGTGTTGTCACAGGTGGAAAGAAGTAAGAACAGCGAGGAAAGCAGGCAGGCAGTGTGAGGCTGCTGTGTGGGGAAGGCCAGGAGAGGGGGTCTGAGTGAGAAGGAGCCAGCAGGTGTAGAGAAGACTCAGAGGGCCAGGGTATGTACCTGTGTAGAGCAGAGCCCTCACAGCAGCCTTCCTCTCCCACAGGAGCTAGTGACTTTTGCCAAATACATCCTGGGCAAGTTCTTTGCATTGGCTGCAGGCAACCCAAAAGTCTTTGTGGAGCTGCTCTTCTGGAAGAACACAGCTGTGGTTCGAGAGATGGCCGAGGGCTATGGCTCCCTGGATGGCGGGTGAGCTTGAAGATGGGGAGGGGTGGACCATATGGTGACATGGTCACAGAGTATCAAAGCTGGAAGAGCTTGCAGATAAGTTAGTCTAGCCCTTCTTCCCCTTCAGAGGCAACAAAACAAGCCAAAAAGTGAAATGCTGTGTCTAAGGTCACCCAAGAGAGGAACTGGAATGGGAGCCTGGTTTCTGTCTACTCTGGGTCCCTTCTCTACTCCCTGTGGGGCTGTTGGTAGTGGGGTTGCTCCCAGAGACAGGTCATGTTACCCTGTCCCACATTGTGCTGTAGATGCTTGTCCTCTTTTCTTCAGAAGCTCAGCTTCTCTCCTTTAGGACTTCCCTCCCTCCCCCATAATGCTCTCAGCCTCTGCAGTGTGACGTTCCATAGGCCAACCTCTCGGAAATCTCAGGAAATCTCTTCATCTGAGCTTGGATCCCCCAGTGAAGGAGTGAAGGGCATCTGCTAGCTGGCTGCCTGGGATTACCTGGGTCACCATTCTTGTTCCTGCTAGACTGACCTTTGGTCCCCCCTTTTTGGGTCAACAGCTACATGCTGCCCTTCTCCTTGCCCTGTTTAGATCCAGTCACAGACCCCCTGTGTGGAGCCCAGAGGAGGAGGCCCAGCTTCAGGAACTGTACCTCACCCATAAGGATGTGGAAGGTATGAGACCTTGAGGTCTGAAGAGCATATGAGGAGGGTAGCTGGGCTCCGGGACCCCCTACCGCCTTGCTCCCCCACTGCAGGTCAGGATGTAGCAGACACCATTGTGGCGCACCTGAAAGCTCCTCGAACACGCAAGCAGGTCATCTGCCATCTGGTGCGGCTGGGCCTGGCTGACAGTGTCAGGGACTTCCAGAGGTAGCGCCAAGTGCTCTGGGGGGATTGAGATAGGGCGTCCTGTTCACTCCCTGGGCCCCCCTGCCACTGACACCTCCTTTAGCAGGAAAAGAACACATATTGTACTGTGGACAGGAGATCAGGAGCTGGAACTGCAGCAGCTCTTCGAGGAGTTTCAGGACTCAGATGGTAAGGAGGTGGGAGCTCGTGGAGCCCCTGGGATAAAGCCAAGCTGTCCTTTCTTGTCCCCTGCTTCCTATTCCCACAGAAGGCTGATCCCGTCCCTTCTGCCCACTTTGTATATTTGTATTGCTGTTTTTGAGTGAATTAAATTAGCCTCTTTACAAACTTCTGACTCCTTTTACTAATCCCTTTCCCATACTGCTCTGGGGTATTCACCTCCCTCTGTATAGATGTCCTGGGTCACGTCATGAAGAACATCACAGCCAAACGTTCACGGGCCCGAATAGTGGATAAGCTGCTGGCTTTGGGGCTGGTGGCGGACCGGCGGGAGCTATACAAGAAACGCCAGAAGAAGTTGGTGCCCTCAAACTGGGTAACAGTCTCACCCTGGCTCTGCAGGCATGGCCCACACCCCCTGCATTGTCCCCTAGAAGGCATACACCCAGATTCTCCCCGCCTCCAGCTCTTCTGACAAGGATCCCCAGGTGGGTGATCAGGAGCCAGAGTGCCTCCTCATTTCCCCATCTTGTTTCCTTTTTCTATTTCCCACCTGAATTTTAGCCTAAAGGAGAAGAGGCCCTGAGAGATTTCTGTCAGAAAGACCTGCCAGAGGAAGAGGGTGAGGAGGATGGAGAGAACCAGGAGGATGCTGAAGCAGAGCAAGCCCAGGGTCATTCGGCCCGTTTGGCAGAAAGCCTCAGGCACAACCTGTATCAGGAAGGTGAGGAACTTGGGCTGCATAGGTGTTTACGGTTGGGGTTTGGGAGCGTGAGCCAATGATGCATTTCCTTCCTGCCCATAGGCTTTTCTGCTCCCCTCCTGTGGCTCCAGAACTGCCTGCTGCGAGTGGCAGATGATCGGGAAGAGGATGGTGGGTGGATAAATGCTGGTGTTAGGACTGGGTGCTGGAGGCTACTGGAGACCTAGTCATGGGATGGAGGGCCAGTCCTTCCTGTCATCACAGCATGATTGTGGACCCTGTCCTAGGTTGCTCCTCAGCGGTTCCTCTGGTGCCATTGACGGAAGAAAATGAGGAAGCGATGGAAAATGAGCAATTTCAGCAGCTGTTGATCAAGCTTGGAGTTCGGCCTCCTGCCTCTGGACAGGTAAGTACACCGGTCATGGTACCAGCCAAGGCATGTTGCTGTTTCATACTGCATCTCCTCGCTTCTGTTGGCTCTGACCAAGACTTTGACAGCTGCCCTGCTGGTCTTCCTCTCCCCATGCTCCCCTTCCCCTAGACCATCTTCCATGCTACCCCAGAGTTTTCTTTCTATCACTGCCTGTCCAGAGCCAGGGTGATTCCCCACTGTTTGCAGGGCAGTCCGTCTGCAGCCTCCGCATAGTGTGCCTGGCCCCAGCCAGCCTTTTTGCAGCCTCAGGGCCATGCCATCCACACACCTACTTACCCATAGTCAACCTGGACTTCGTCCCACTCTCCAAAATTAGACTTCCTGATACCTCTGAACCCAATTATGCCAGTCCCTCTACCGAAAGGCTCCAGCCACACACACAAATCACCCATCTTCCTGAAGAATGTCCACCCAATCTTCAAGAGTTAGTCCACTTGTCACCTCCTCAGAGAAGCAGTCCCTGTCATCTTCCAACCCCTGAAGTGAAAGTAATGCTCTGGCACTGGGGTTCGTTTATTCCCTCGGTACAGTGCTAGCCCTGTGGCATTGCAGTGTGTAGGCTGTCCCAACAGGCTGAGTTCCTTGAGAACAAGGAACATCTGATTGACCTGTAGCTCCCCAGGATCCATTCTTTCATTCATTTAATTAACAACTAAATTACTGGGAGCAAGTATAATCCCTGATGTATTGGGCACTGCACTAGATATTGGGCATATATTGGGTAATTAAGCAATAAGTAGAGTTCACAACCCTGTGGGCCTTCACCAACGTGGGGTCATATTTATTCAATGAAATAATACCTAAATCTGATGACCTAGAGACTGCTTTCCCACCACTCCCATTTTCAACTTCTTTGCTCCTATAGGAAACCTTCTGGCGAATTCCAGCCAAGCTGAGTCCCACCCAGCTCCGAAGGGTAGCAGCTTCCTTGAGTCAAGCAGAGGAAGAGAAAGAGCCTCTGCCAGAGCCTCTGCCAGGACTAGAACTGAAAGTCCTTGGAGAGCAAGGACTTGAGGCTCACCAGACAGAGCACCAGGCACAAGCCCTGAGGTGTAGAAAGGAAGCCGGCCTGGTGTTCCTGGAGGGTAATAGCAGGGCCACTCACATCTTAAGTACTTACTGTGTGCCAGCATGTTGATCTCCAGGGCTGATCGTGTATTTTGAGAATATGAGGCCTCAGTTCCTCATTCTGTGCCTCTTACAGTCTCTGCAGGGGAGGGGGCTCTCGGTGGGAGAGGGCAGCTGCAGACAACCCCCGGGAAGCGGCAGCTGCTGGACAGTGAAGAGGAGCGGGAGGCAGTGGAGGGCAGGGACAACGGTAGGATCTGGTCGGACCTGCTTTTTCTTCTGACCGTTAGCATTCTTCCCTCTCCTTCTGAAAACAAATGCTGCCACCTGCCTTCTCCCGTAACATACTTAGATGCTCTTCCTCTTCCCACCTGTCATTCTCAGCACCAGAATCAGGAGTGCCAGGAATCCAGAAGAAGAAACGATTTCAGATGCAGGATGAGGATGAGAACAACAATGGGCCAGAAGCCTACAAGGAGCAATTGACCGTTTTTAGGTGGTGAATTTAAATCAGAGTTGGGAGCGTCACACAGGACCAGAAGCTCCTCTCACTGGGCACAAGTGGTAGCATCCTGGGCTTCTCCAGGAATTTAGGCAATAGTGTTAGACCCTTTGCAGGTAGTCCTTGCTTCCCCCAGTTCACCTGTGTTCTCAATAGACCTCCGGAGACAACTTCTAGGAGCCATTTCTTTGGGCTTATGAGCACCCCTCAGCAAATGAGAGATGACTGAAGTACAGAAGGCACCTTGGACCCCTTTATTAGTCTGTCCTTTTAGCTTTCTGCTGGAGTGGGTTTTGGGTCACAGCAGATAGGGAGCCTTCTGACATGATGGGTATTGTACCATTTTAAAAAGGTACCAGGTGCCCTGGTCCTCATTTTCTTTCCTGTTACCCTTTAGACAACAGATTGAGCCCAATTCCTGCAGCTGAGGTAGGGTTGGGGTGCAGTACTCTCCAGATGGTAAACACGATTGGTTTGTGTTTTGTATTAAATTAAACATGTAAAATTAAAAATTGCCAATGTTGATCTGACTTGCAAGTCTGAAGTGCTCAACCCTCCACCTGCCATGTTCTTGGAAGAGCTTAAACTGTTAGGGTTGGACCACCAGCTTTCCATTTTCTCCTGCTTTCCCTACAGAAGACACAGTAACATGTTCTTATGATCTTTTGTCTGGGGTAAATCTTTAGAGTGACGAGTGTATAGCAGCAAGAAGCAGGATCCACAAGGGGAGGAGAGACCAGTTTGTCAGCATGTAGCAGAGGGGACGACAAAGTCCTTGCAAGAAAGAGATGAATAAGTACTGCAGATGTCACATCCTCCCCTGTTTCTGAAAGCCATCAGCTTTCTGGCGTCCCCGTGTTTCCAGCTGAGGTAGGGTGCCGGTCAGGGACAGCCCTAGGTAAAGGATACATTTGGACAAGCCTGTTTCTCTATTCGGTTTTTTCCTCCCATACTCTTTAAAGGTGGGGGTGAAGCTATGTCCAAGGTAATAAAAGTTTCCAAGAGCTAAGATATTGTCTAGCTCTCATTTTGTGCTGTAAGAAAAATGGATAGGCAGAGAAGGACTGAATTCTAATTTTTTGATGAGCTGTATGTTTGGTGTTCAAAATCCACAGTAAACATCAGATCTAATATCCCTCAGACACTCAATGATGAAAAATACAATGGTTTAAAATGCCAATTATTTAAAATTTAGTGAGGTTTGCTTTATGGCCCAGGTGTGGCATATCTTAGTGTTCTGTAGGTACTTGAATAGATTCTGTCATTGATGGGTGGAATGTTCCATAATGTCAGTTAGATTCAGTTGGTTGACAATGTTAAGTTCTCTGGCCCTGGTGACGTTCTATCTAGTGAATCCATTGATTGTTAAAAGAGGAGTGTTAAAGTCTCCAACTATGGTACTGGGTTTGTTCCTTTTAGTTCTGTCAGTTTTAGCTTCGTGTATTTTGAAGTTCTGTTGTTTGGTACACACATTGGATTGCTATGTCTTCTTGGTGGACTGACCCTTTTATCATAAGTGTCTGTCTTCATCCTCAATAATTTTCTTTGTAAAGTCTGCTTTGCAGGCACACTTCAAATATATTGCAGGTTTGGTTCTAGGTCATCACAGTAGAGCAAATATTGTAATAAAGCAAGTCAAGTGAAGTTTTGGTTTCCCAGAGCATGAAAAAGTTATGTTTACACTGGACTCTAGTTGAAGTGTGCAATAGCATTATGTCTAAAAAACAACAGACATACCTTAACTTAAAAATATTTTATTAAAAAATGCTCACCGCCATCTGAGCTTTCAGCAGGTGCAGTCTCTCTGTGGAGGAGAGTCCTGCCCCGGTGTTACAGCTGCTGGCTGATCAGAGGATGGTTGCTGAAGGCTGGGGTGGCTGAGGCCATTTCCTAAAACAAGACAACACTGAAGTTTGCCGCATCAGTGACTCTTCCTTTCACGAACAACTTCTCCATAGCATGTGACGCTGTTTGACAGCATTTACCCACAGGGGAACTTTCAAAGTTAGAGTCAGTCTTCTCAGATCCTCCTGCTGCTTTATGTAAGTTTATGCCATATTCTAAATCCTTTGTTGTTATTTCATCAATTTTCACAGCATTTCATCAGTTCAGAAGTAGATGCCATCTCAATAAACCATCTATAAAATATTTTCTTTGCTCATGCATAAGAAGCAACCTGTCATCCATTCAGGTTTTATCATGAGATGCAGCAAGTCACTTTTTCAGGCCCCACTTCTAATTCTAGTTCTCGCTGTTTCCACCACATCTGCAGTTACTTCCCACTGAAGTCCTGAGTCCCCCAAGTCATCTGTGAGGATTGAAAACAACTTCCAAACTCCTGTTCATGTTGATATTTTTGCCTCTTCCTGTGAATCATTAATGTTCTCAATGGTCTAGAATTTTGAATCCTTTCCAGAAGGTTTTCAGTTGACTGTCCAGAGCCATCAGAGGAATCACTATGTATGGCAGCCATAGGCTTATGAAACATATTTCTTAAATCATAAGACTTAAAAGTTGAAATGACTCCTTGATCGTGAGCTGCAGAGTGGATGCTGTGTTAGCAGGCATGAAAACAACATGAATCTCATCATCCCCAACAGAGCTCTTGGGTAACCAGGTGCACTGTCAATGGGCAGGAATATTTTGAATCTTTTTTCTCCTGAACAGTAGGTCTCAACAGTGGGCTTAAAATATGCAGTAAACCATATTGTAAATAGATGTGCTGTCATCCAGGCTTTGTTCTTTTTATAAAAGCGCAGGCAGAGTAAATTTAGCATAATTCTTAAGGGCCCTAGGATTTCTGGGATAGTAAATGAGCATTGGTTTCCACTTATGTGCATTAGCCCCTAATAAGGAAGTCAGCCTGTCCTTTGAAGCTTTGAATCCAGGAGTTGATTTCTCTCTAGCTATGAAAGTTCTAGATGGCATCTTGTAGAAGGCTGTTTCTTCTACTTGACAGTCTGTCCTTTAGAGTAGTTACCTTCATTAATGATCTTGGCTGGCTCTTCTGGATAACTTGGTGCATCTTCTCCACTAGCACTTCTGCCTCCTCTTGAACTTTTAATGTTAAGGAGGCAGCTTCCTTCCTTAAACCTCACGAACCAACTTCTAGCTTCAGACTTACCTTCTGCAACTTCCTCACCTTTCTCAGCTTTCATAGAATTGAAGAGAGTTGGGTCCTTATAGTAGAGGTCTGCAGAAGATGAATTCTTTCAGATTTTGAATGGTTTTTTAGGGAAAATTCATAGAGCATGAAGTTCATATTTTAGCCACTTTGAAGTGTACAATTCGTGGCTTTCGGTATATGCAGTGTTATGCAGACATCAGCACTATCTAATTCCAGAATATTTTCATCACCCCCAAAGGGAACTCCATACCCATTGTCCCTTAAGAATCTTTCACTTGTTTCCTGGGTTCTTTTTTGCCACATCGACCTACTGGCTTCTGAGAGCTAAGGGAGTGCTCTTGGGACTGAGGTTAGGGCTCCAGGAAACTGATTCTATCATAGATTCCACCACCAGGTTCTTAAGTCAAAGTTTTCTGAACTGCAGCTACTGCTGAAGGAGCTTAGAATAAGACATACTGCATTGTTTCTACCCCCAAAATACATCACCACCTTATTTCTGACCTAGGCTCTTACATTACCTGCCCCATTAAGAGTCCTCCCTTCAATCTCTCCTCTTCCTTTTAATACATTGTCCATTCTGCCCACAGAAATTTTTTCTACGTCATGGTTCTGATCACATCATTGCCCTGCTCCAGAGTATCTGATGGCTTCTCATTGCTTTCAGAACAGATCCAGACCCAAAGAAGAGCATGCTTGATCTTAGCAGGTCTTTGCAGCCTCCCTGCCATGCCTGATGGTGCCTATTTTTTTATACGTTTGCCACCCTAGACTTCAATCACCCTCACAGAGCAGCCTTTTCATTACCACCAACCTGTGGATTATGCCAGTCCTCTACCAGCGGGGTTTGTCCCATTCCTATCCTGTCCTTCAATAGACAGCTGCAGTGTGCTCTCTGAACCCCAAACCACAAGCACTTTTATAGCTGGGATTTATTGATTTTCCTCACAAAGTGCCAGTTGTAGAGTGATCTTGTTTGTTTTTCCCATAGACTGAGCTTGAAAGTAAGGCTTATGTCTCACCTTTATATCCCAAGGGTACAATTCATTAATATATCCCATTAGCATGTCTGTGTATTTGGTGCTTCCTATATAGGAGTCACCATGCTGGGCACTGGGTAGCAGTTCCAAGTGACTAGCCAAGGACTGCATATGCAAAGGTGAGCACAGTAATACAGCCTCCCAGCGCTGATAGTTCTTCACTAGTGCAGCCATCACAAAGCAGCTGCTGATACTCACCATCTGTCCACCCAGAAGTGAGCCTTTCATGTTGCCTTTTTCAGTTTCTCAGACCCCACAGGAAAACGTCCTGTGGAGCCCATACCAGCTGAATGCTGAGAAAGGCAAGTGCTTGTTTTTAAGTACACGGAGGAGGAGGGAAACCTCAGCCAGAACTGGAACCTGAGGTCTGGAGAGCAAGGGCTCTGTGAGGGACCAAGCGTGAGCTCTGAGGCCACCTGCTGTCCCACCAGCTTATGGCGAGAGTGCTGCTCAGTGCCTGTTGTGGACCAGCTGTGGTGGGAGGTTGGGGCTGACAGTTACCTTGGTGCCTCCTATTTACGTGGGGGACCAGGCTGATGGCAGCCAAAACAGAACCCAAAGTTTGTAGGTCAGTGAAAACACTCTGCATGATACTGTAAAAGTGAATACCTGTGTTATACATTTGGTAAAACCCAGAGAACTATATGATGAGACTTGCACCCTAATGTAAACTATGGACTTAGGTAGTAATAATACATAATAACAAAATAATAAATTTAAACAATAATATAGTCAGCTATAGCAAATGCTACCACACCAAGGTAAGATGTTAATAGGAAGTTGAGGAGAGGGACTGTTTGTGGACTCTACTTTCTGCCCAAAACTACTCTAAGAAATAAATTCTAAACAAAAATACCCAGCTGACAAGTGGTAGGAATTGAGGAACAGGTGGGAAATCTGATGGGCAGGACCTGTCTTTGTCTTCTTCCCTCAGTCCTGGAGAGGCTCACCACCACTCTCCCTGATTCTAACCTTACACAGTCTCTCCCCACTGGCATTCCCAAGGCACTAGAGTTGGAAATTCAGGGCATTTCAGTGAAAAGTGCATCTATGTTGAGGATGAGGACAATGCTGTCTGAGGTGGAGATAGGCCCAGTTTGGATGGTGAACCCAAGTTGGAAGTGGGAGAACCTGATGGGATCCAGAACTTCCCCACACTGAGCAAAAGCAGTCCTGGTTGCCCAGGCCTGAGGGCCCAGGAATTCCAGGCAGCTGGGTTGCCCTGCATCCTGTCTTGCCAATGGATTTCAACCCCGGGCAAGTTCGCTATGGATTCAGTGTGACCAAAGAAATTGAGAGCAAAACGTTCTTGGGGTAAAAGGGTTATACCCAGGTTTAGAATCCCATTCACTCAGAGCAAGTCTGCAGGCAGCAAGCCAGTCTCTGCCTCTGGGCCCCTCTGTCCGCACAGCCGTCCTCTGAACCTCTCTGCACAGTCATCCCCCACAGCTGTCCTCCCGGCCTCTCTGAAGTCATCCCGCACAGCCATCTTCTGGGCCTCTGTCTTCTCGGCGCTACCACCACTCCAGCCTCTGCTCTGCTCTCCTGCAGCCTTGCAGCCCTGCCACCGTGTCGTGCCCAAAGCACTGGGCAGAGCTCTTTTCATAGAGTCAAATTGCCCACAGGTGTGCAGTGGGCTAGTCAACCAGGGCCAGGTGAGAATCCTGGCCACAGGAACTCTCATTTTATCCACAATCCAGTTCTTCCTTCTCCCCATTCTAGCGTGCATCCCACTAGCTTCCTAAAGACACTCCTTGCCCTAGAAACCATTCTTTGGTTTTGTTTTTTCTCATTTCTTTCTTGTTAGGAGCCCCTCCTAGGACTGAGAAGACTAATGTGGAAGGAGGGACCCGAGGCTCCACCCTGGCACACTCCCTTTGGCTGTCTACCAGAGGTGGGTTATAGCATCAGAGAAGCAACTTTATGACAAAATGATGTGTGGGCTTTTGCACCAGATTTAGGAAGCACCATATGCCACCATCTCTCCCTATTTATAGAGTGTAGTTTCTCATCTAGACCTTTAGATGAGAAATGAAACCCAATTCCTATGGTTTTGACATAGAGGTATCTCATGGTTATGAATGTTTAATTAGGGTAATGCACCAGAATTAGAAGATAAAAATGGAAAAAATGCTCTGATTTGGTGTGACAGTAGCTTCTTTTTGCCCATTCCTCTACCCAATAAGTCTGTTGAGTAACTATTCTGGAGTCGCCTACCCCGAAATCATTGATATCCCTGCCTTTCCCCTTCCTGTTTCCCCAAAAGAGAAAGAGAATGTTTCTTGATCTAAGTTTAGGTCTAAAGAAATCCTTAAGGTGATCGGGCTCCGGGCAGGAAAAAGCAGCCACAAAGGGAGGTCTGTCCTCAGCATGGGGCAAATGGAAGGAGGCCACAGCCTGAGCCTGCAAGAGGGAGGTAAGTATTTTGAGGGTACTCTGTTCTTCACTGTTTTCATAGGAGTCAGCTTTTCTTGGCTGGTGTGAAAAGGTGAGCTCCAAAAAGCAGCCAGCCATTCAGGTTCGGGAAGCACTGAGGCAAAGGACATACATGCTCAGGCCATCTCATTCCTCTGGCTTGTTTCTGGAGCAGGTGAGATTGCCCACAGCATGCAAGGGAGGAGGTGATGCTCTGCCCAGTGTAACTGATGTTTCCAAGGGCTAAGAGCTTCCTAGTTCTCTCCTCTCTTGGTGTGTGCTCGTCCCTAGTCTCCCTGCTTCCCCACCCCCAACTCCGCTGCTTCCCTGCGGGGCTGTCCTACTGACCCACCATGAACGAGGCTGTGCTGCTCCTTTGCTGTGTCTTGCTGCCCCCAGTCACTGGGTTTCCAGGAAATGTACAGGAAGCAGCCCTGACCTTGCAGCCATCTTTCGCAGAAACTGGGTGCCCACCGAATGCACTCCCCAATCAGATCCCTCTCTGGGATCCCAAGACCTTCCAGGATCTCTTGCACACAGTGCCCTCCTTAGCCCCTCTGCCTGAGCACCTATCCAGCATAGCTCTGGGGGTGTTCCTGGAGGAGGTTGGCTGCCCAACGGAGGCCCATGCTCTGCAGCTTCAGCTTGTTAGGATGGGAGGAAAGGACGCTGCTGAAACCCTCATCTGTGAGAGTAAAAAGCACAACAAGGAGGAAGGGATTGGCAGTACTAAGGTAGTCCTGGGGGGACACATGGGGGAGCTTAGGCAGCCCCAGTGCTCAGTTACTGTCCCTGAGGCATGTAGGGCTGAACATAGGTGGGCGCTTTATGAGTTAGCAGAGCTGATGTTTGAATTTGCTGAGAAGCTCCCTTCCACCAAGTTGGTAGAAGAGTTCAAGACTTCTGCCATCAACGTCACCCAGAAGTGCACGGACGAGTCTTGGGAGCATTTGGAAGCAGTGGGCAAACACCTGGTGAATGGCCCTGAAATTGACAACCTCATAACGTCTATGGAAGATGAGCTACACTTTGTCAAGCATATCACAACCATTCTGACACGCCTTATACTGGAACTGATACAGAAATATTTCCAGACTTACTTTGAATAGGTGAAGGCCTGCTATTTCCTTTCTCAAATGTCTCTGGTAGGACTGTGTACAAGGACTGGGGGCAAAAGGTAGGTAGAAGTGTTGGGGACAGCTTAAGGTAGATGTATGCTATTCATTTGGTCCCCGTGATGAAAGACATGTGACCAGGGTCAGCTTTGCTCCCTCCGTTGGTAAGTCCTAGCCCCTATTCTCTCAATTTCTCTGTGGATTTATTATGTACTAGACATGAAAGGTTTATAATCTTACTCTATTTATCTGCCTTTTACTTTCTAATTCCCCAACTGAATGCTGTAGTGTGCTTATGTTAATCTTTAAACTAAAAAGAGAAATAAAACTTGCTTCTGTATCAGAACTACACTTATCTGATCTCTGTTAAATGTAGATCTCCACGGCTTTTGTGAGCTAGACATGGAATGTGGCAGGAACATGTAGGAAATGCCAATGACTTTTGAGGCTGGTGTGTAACAAGGGGACAAGCTTTGAGCAGTCAGTACAATGAGCAAACATTTATAGAAGTCATGTCCCTTACTGATTACTGGGGAATGCAGCCATCTCTCCTCATAGGACAGAGGACTGGGCAGAGGGAGTCTGGATCTACGCGAGCAGTCTCACTCTCACTGACTGAATTTTGGGCAGTAGTCTGGGGTTGCATTGCATGGAAGTGAGGTGAAGAAGTCCCCAGCGATATGGAATGGGGAGATTGAGAAGAGCAATCGAGCCCCATTCCCTGGCTCCAAACTTAAAGTTACAGAGGTTGGGAGTTGATGGATGAGATGTCCTAACTGAGCCCTGGGATCCTTCAGACCACAACCCAGGTTTGAGCGTTGTCTTCCATTCTAGTATAATCTGGTCCAGTTAGGTGTCTTCTGAGACCCATCATGACCTGCTCCTTTACTGCCTCTTTATACTCTCCTGATTGCCATTTCATATGGAGCCCAGAAAAAGACCTTCTCCCTTTTCCTCATCCCTGGGGATCTAGCCACCCTTGGCAGGCTCTTGGTTCTTCTATACCCTGCTTCCAGAGTCCTTGCCTGGCCTCACCCACTTGGTCCTCTACCTAGGATCCTGATAGCCTGAGGATTCCCCTATAGCAGGCTGATCACCAGCCTGAATCCTAGACCCTGCAGCTTCATCTTCATAGGCTGGGGCATGTGGAAGCCAGACATGTTTCTTCAACTTGATACAAGGTGCCACACAGACAGCAGCCCAGGGTACCGCTTCCTAGGGGATGCTCTGGTCTCTGTTCTGAACCTATTAGGCAGTGTTCAGCCTGATCCAGGGAGAGCAAGATGTGTCTTTTCTGCCCTAGACTGTTGGCAAGACCAAGAGCAGCATGAATACAACCTGGTCCAGCTGTTGCCAGGAGTGGGAATCTACCACAAACTCAGTCACAGCTTTGTCCTCTGCTTCTCAGAACTACTCTAGTAAACCCAAGCAATGAAGCTGTGTGGGGCCACAAACATAGGCAATGGCCTCTTATAGTCATGCTGAGGTTTCAGGGAGACCCACAGGCTACTGGCAAGCTCTGTCCTTGAACCTGCAGTGGAGGCTGGGGTTCAGCAGTTTATCCAGCATTACTATGAAAAAGAGGTAGATAATTCTGTCAGAGATCAGGGAGGAGGGCTTGGGAAGCATCACAGATGTGAATCACCCAAGGGCGAGAAACAACTATGCCTTCAAGGGCTTTTGAAGACAGGACTTATCTTCCTCCTCACTGTGGGCCTGAAGTACAGTTTCTGTGGGCTCTGTAGACATAGGTACTTAGATGACTTAGACACTGTTTGTAGAAGTCTTGTGCTTTATGTAAAGAGGCTATGCACAAAAGGAATATGTACTAATTCTTGGCAAATTATGAGTGATGTTCAAAATCCAACTAACCATCAGGCCCAATATCCATAAGATAGGCAGCACTTAAAAACTAAATAATTAAAGGGAGAATCTATTTGTAAATAACGTATCTGACAAGGGGTTAACTTCCAAAATATATAAAGAACTTACATGCCTCAACACCCAAAAATCAAATAACCCAATTAACAAATGGGCAGAGGATATGAAGAGACAGTTCTCCAAAGAAGAAATTCGGATGGCCAACAGACACATGAAAGGATGCTCCGCATCACTAATCATCAGGGAAATGCAAATTAAAACCACAATGAGATATCACCTCACACCAATAAGGATGGCCAGCATCAAAAGGACTAAGAACAGCAAATGCTGGCGAGGATGCAGAGAAAGGGGAACCCTCCTACACTGCTGGTGGGAATGTAGGCTAAGTTCAACCATTGTGGAGAGCAATGTGGAGGTTCTTCAAAAAACTAAAAATAGAAATACCATTTGACCCAGGAATCCCACTCCTTGGAATTTATCCAAAGAATACAACTTCTCAGATTCAAGGAGACATTTGCACCCCTATGTTTATTGCAGCACTTTTTACAATAGCCAAGATATGGAAGCAACCTAAGTGTCCATCAGTAGATCAATGGATAAAGAAGATGTGGTACATATACACAATGGAATACTATTCAGCCATAGAAAGAAACAAATCCTACCATTTGCAGCAACATTGATGGAGCTGGAGGACATTGTGCTTGGTGAAATAAGCCAGGTGGAGAAAGACAAATGCCAAATGATTTCCCTCATTTGTGGAGTATAACAATGAAGCAGAACTGAAGGAACAAAATGGCAGCAGACTCAGAGACTCCAAGAATGAACTAGTGGTTCCCAAAGGGGAGAGGTGTCGGTGGGGGGGAGGGAGGGTGAAGGGGATTGAGGGGTATTGTGTTTAGTACACGTGTGGGGGATCACGGGGAGAACAGTATAGCAGACGGCACATAGTGGATCTGTAGCATCTTGCTGCACTGGACAGTGATTGCATTGGGATATGGTTGGGGACTTGATAATATGGGTAAATATAGTAACCACATTAATTTTTCATGTGAAACCTTCATAAGAGTGTATATCAATAATACCTTAACAAAGAAAACTAAATAATTAAAAATCACCACTCCCATGTCCTAATCCTCAGATATGGATGGATTTGTTAGGGGAGCATTGTGTATTTTCCTCGGTTCTTGTTCCCAGCAACAAAGAATTGAAGGGCAGAGACACAGTAGTGAAGCAGAGTGAAAGTTTTGTTTAAAGTTACTTACAGAGAGAAAAAGTGCGGGTGGCTGAAAGGTTTAAGTTTTATTTAAAGAGAGCAGGTATTAGATAAAGGGGAGTGTGAGCTACTTCATAGAAGAGGTGCTCTGAAAGGTTGAGATAAAGTTTTAAGGCTATGCACTTAAAAAGCGTGGGCAACCTCAGAGAGAGGAGCACCCCTAAGATTTCAGGGTCTGAGGTTTTATAGGAGGTTGAGGATTTTCAGGAAAGTGACAAAGGGCCAGGTGTGGACAGGCCAAATTCTCCCAAAATGTTTCTTTGTTAATGCATTAAGCTACATTTTTTTAACTTAACACAAGAAATATACTGCTTTGATTCTTTTCCATGATATCATCTTCTGTTTGGAAGCAAACCAAACAAGACTGTCTGCCTTGCTCACCATCTGTTTGATTAAAATGCAATCTCAGCTTTAAGATAGAATTCTTACTGAATAAGCTGGGCCTTTTAGCAGGTGCTAAAGTAAATATTACAATGGTGTCTTGCCAATGAGTTTCAGCCCTGGGCAAGTTCGCTATGGATTCAGTGTAACCAAAGAAAATTGATAGCAGAACACTCTTTGGGGTGAAAGGGATATACCCAACTTTATTTCCAGGTGACAGGTCAGTCACTAGAATCCCATTCACTCAGAGCAAGTCTGTATGCAGCAAGCCAGTCTGCCTCTGGGCCCCTCTGTCCATACAGCCATCCTCTGAGCCTCTGTCCTTGGTGCTGCCACCACTCCAGCCTCTGCTCTGCTCTCCTGCAGCCTTGCAGCCCTGCCATTGTGTCGCACCCAGAGCACTGGGTGGAGGTCTTTTTATAGTCAACAGCCATGTATTGCCCACAGGTGTGCAGTGAGCTAGTCAACCAGGGCCAGGTGAGAATCCTGGTCACAGGAACTCTCATTTTATCCACACTCCACCCCTCCAGGATTCTCTCCTCTCAATGTGCCCTTAGTCCTCTGCAATGGTCCCTGTGTGTGGAAGCTTGAACATTGTTCTCCAGCCTCTCCAACAAAGAGTCTTGCAGACACACAGCCCAGACTTGTGGCTCTGTCTCTGACCTCTGCTTCTTTGGTCTTAATGGCTGGAACCGCTGCTTGGGTTTCAGCTGTTGCCATAGCAGCAGTAAGATCTTATTTGGCTTCCCATCTAATTTCCTTCCATCTGCTCCTGCCCGTATCAAATCAACCCACATCTGGGTCCTCATAACCCTCATGAGGCCCCTCAAATTCCTCCTGTGAGCAACAGGTCTTATTTCTTTCTGGGTTCTCATTGCTTCAGCTACTTTATGTGTCACCTCACATTTTGTAATCGCTGCCTCAAGGCAGGCTGCACTGTCAGGGAAGATAGCTTTCCCATCTCTGATCCCAACAGAACAATTCCATCCACCCCTAAGTCCCACAGCCACCAGCTCAGCCTGAGTATAGGGACAGAGCATAGAGTGCTCTGTGACCTGGGGAGGAGGCTGCTCCTCTCCTTGGGGAACTTTCAGCTGCTGGGTCTTTATTTTCTTTACAACCACTGGGCGTGCTTTCCATACAGGAGGCGCCAGTGCCTCTGGCATCACCTCTTCATCCTTCTCCAATTCCTCCATTTTCTCTCCCCTCCCCCAAGTGCCTCCTTTGCCACAATCTTTACCTTTTCTACTGTGCCTCGCAGCAATGCTACCTCTGTCTTCAGAAGCTCTCTTACCTTCAGCTCAATGCTTCGCAGCTGACATTCTCGTGCCACCTCCCCCTGTGCTTCCCTCAGGAGCTCGTCCTTTTCCTTGATGGCCTCTTCCTCCTTCAGATCACCTGGCAGCCCTGCCGTCTTGTCTCCAATGGCACCTTGCTGCCGGTTCTCTTGTGCCACTTCCTCCCACATCAAGGCCATCTCCTTCCTCAGGGAATCCACAGAGTTTTGCAGCTCGCGTTCTCATGCCGCCTCTTGCAACAATGCCACCTCCCTCCTCAGGAAATCTACTGAAGTTTGCAGCTCGCATTCTCGAGCCGCCATTTCGTGGGTCTCCTCTGTAGACCTTTTTAAGACTGTGAGAAGCAGCCAACCCACAGTCCCCACTGCCTCATGGGCACTCTGCTTCTCAAAGGCTCTGCTTACTATATCAAGAGCCACCCCTACTGCCTCAGGTGTCACCTCCACTTGCCTCCAGTCCTGGGGTGGGGCCCAGTTCTCTAGGAGGCAAGCGACCTCAGACCACAT